AGCAGAGAAGACAGAAGTACTGAGCGATGACCTTCTTTTGGTGACTATTTTCTTCTTTCTGGGATTTAATCACAATCCTAAATGACTGCACAAATCATCTAGCATTTATTTTCACTGTGGAGTTACAAGAGTTATTTTAAGATTATCATACTACCAAAAGGGAGGCTATCAAACGTTATGCCATACAAGAGCCTATATGTATGCTTCGTCTCAGAGTACCGTTTACTATGGTGCACTAAGATTACGAATGCCTTACTCATCATTATGTGTTGTATACTAGGGTAGGTTGGTGTGCTTTGTCCATTTGTAGGCTCAAGCATTGGCATATCTTTGTTTACACATCTATATTGAGTTTACTCCCATCATATCTTTATATGAAGAGTTCAGATGCAAAACCCTCTAAATATATCAGACCTCTTTTCTTGTAAGTGAGCATTTTCTATCAGACTCCTCTAAAAAGGGTTCAGAAGTTTCATTTTATATGTGGTAAAAAAGGTTATTAGCTAGTAAATAAAATACCTTTTTTAAATGTCACTTTAGACAATTCCATGTTTTTTAACAAGGTAAATTTTCTTTTGCATCAAAACCAGCTAAATCCACGTCTTTTTTTTTAATGCAAAACCCTCTAAATGCATCTATTGGAACAAAACAGTGTAATTAGTTGAAAATATAGATGGCATTACAAATTATTTTACCAAACATAAAACACATTACACAAACCACCTGAAATTTAAAATATATGAATCTGTCAAGTAAATGGCGGTTCATTCAGCTGTGGCAAACCAGGGAAAAGCAGAAGGAAAATGAATAAATGAAATCTGTCAAGTAAGTGCATTAATCAATAACTTTAAGACTGACATTAATTAAATCCTAAAAATCTGTTGTCATTTCCGGTATTTAGGATTTAGGTTTAATGTAAGAGAGCAATGTAAACATTGCAAACATTGTAAGCTTGGCAGATTCAAAAATTGTAGTGTAAAAACATTATGAAACATTAATGTCTGTGCATTGTCTATTAATATAAAAAGCTTATCAGATCTATAGGCATTATGAAGTAATATAAATGTATAGTTTTATACATTATATTTATCTTGTAAAAAATAGCTTAAATTAGCAAATAAAACATAATTTTGGCCTACTGGGCGAAAAGGAGATGCCTCTCAGACAATTTTAGAAGCTGTCATTCATTCATTCATTCATTCATTCTCACCATACTCAAGGTCTTGGTCCCGTGTTTATCCTCATAGCATCCACGTGGAATAAAAGAACAGCATCTTAACTTTGTCTATCGTGAAATGGCGTTGCCGTTTATTGTATAGTAAGTCGGACTCTTTCAAAGTAGCGTCACTGCGCAAAAACACGTTATGAATGCATGTTACACTTCCGACTGCACATTGTGTTTCCTTTTTCTTATAATGCACAGAGTTTTGAGGTTAGAGACGTTTTCATTTGCCATTCACTGACAGTCAGACAGTCTCATCAAGTTCATCAAACCGTGTCTTTTAAAATCGAAATCAAAAGCGGAATAAAAGTCTCCTCATAAAAGCAGATGTATCAGTGTAACCCCGCTGTTTCTACAACCACCAGCTGGTATCGAACCACCGACCTTCCACACAGGAGTCAGTTGCTCTATCAAGGAGGCTAAAGACCTTTTCAATATTACCGTAGTCGCATGACTCTAAAACTATAGGTCTTCTGAGAAAATTTGCTCAGGTGAATGAAGCGAACGGGAGGTAGCGGAAACTACAATTCCCATCAGCCCAGGCATGGCCATCATCCTTTGCGATCTGTTGTCGCTACAGATCCAGTAATGCAGAAATGGAGTGTGCTGCTAGTAGCGGGGATGAAAAAGAGCTGGAAATGATCAAACCTAAAGCGGGTTTTAAATCGGATGTGTGGAAGCATTTCGGTTTCTTTCTAAAAAGATACGAGAAAGGAGAAAAGGTGACAGACAAAAAAAAAACAAAAAACGGTATGCAGGCACTGCTAGACTTTGGTGAAATACAAGTTGGGGAATACAACTAATAACAGTCATGGGGACTGCAGAATACAGCACACTGTTCAGATTGATGCAGACATTGACTTGTACCGCAAAAAGACCTCTATCTCACTCATGGCATGTCCTCTTGACAATGCACAACGTTACCAACTGCTGTCAACCTGGGCCAAGTCATATCTCTGTCCCAGAAACCTCAGTCCCAAATGAGAGGGTTTTTTCTGTTGCAGGGGACATGCCCAGAGATCCCAGCTTTTACCAGATTATATTTATATGATAATTTTCCTTAAAACCCATCTCTAAGTGAGTGAGTGAGTTATTAAATGTTGATTGTGATGAGTTTTCAACAATACTAAATTGAAGCTTTATTTTTTTATATGGTTTAATAATTTTTTGTTATTAAAATTGAAAAATTGAAGTTCCTGTTTCAAAGCTTACAGATAGATGGCTAATTTGTATGTCATTGACACTTTTGGCACTTTTTTTGAGTTTTTTCATTAGTTTTGTTTTTCCTGTAAATGATTCAATAAATACCGTACCGTGCCATTCATACCGAGGTATTACAGTTCCGTGAAATTCTGATACCGTTACATCCCTAGTTTATACGTTAAATATTTGTAGTTTACTTTAGTTTGAGGTGGTAAATTCAGTCATTTATTTATTTAGTTGGCAAGATAAAATGTCAACTTATAGCTTATTGCAAATTTTTTATCTATATTATTTTTTCTAATGTCTTATTATAAATGGTATATTTTGCTTTCCATTGCTTTAGATTTGTTATAATTCCTGGAAGTCAATTAATTATTATTTTTGACAAGTATAGATAATAAGCATTAGTTACTGCATCTTTAGGAAATCAATACGTAAGAGTGATTCATTACTCGGTAACACTTTATTTGAATACATTTGAGTATTAGTAGACTGTCTGCTTTATATCTACGGATGTTGCTCCTTCAACAGACATTTACCCGACTATAAGAGACTTTGCAAGTGCATGTCAACTTACATTAACCCTAAACCCAACCAAACAGTCTATTTATATTCTAATGAGAATTAGTTGGCATGTAGATGCAATGTACTGTAACCTAAAGTCAACAAACAGACAATCACAATAAAGTGTGACGAATTTCTCAACTTGTCCAATAACTGGTTGGTTGGTCAGTCACACCATCTGCTGTCAGATATGTTTGTGCAATGATGCTAAACTATATAATTGACAATCATCTAGCTAATAATTTACTACATATTTCAAGTCATTCGATATTCCATGTGACTTTACAGCCTTTTTGCTCGCCCTTTTTCTATAAAATTGTGTGTATCATTTTTTGTTTGTTTTAATATGTGCATTTATTATTGATAGTTGTTCAGTAAGCAGTGCAGTCTGTTTTACATTTTTGGACTAAAATAAAACCTTACCTTACATGGCTTGTGTAACTATTCACATTAAAATCTGTGTAAAAAATGTTTTTCTTGATAAAGTAAAGGTTATTATTATAATAATTGACAGTAAACCCAAATGAATGCATATTAAGGCATAGCATAGAAACTGCAGTACACCATTTACAGCTCTTTGGCTTTCAGTTATAGTAAGAGTATCCCAGTTGACCTTTGATTCTGATTATTCATCTTCTTCTTTCCCACAATCTCTTGTCTTTCACACCCCTCCTTGCTCCGTTTTTTTCCGGCATATTTCAGATGACAGAAAACCAATTGACTGTCTAGGTATTTTTGACAACACAATGCCAATGTTTTCACGAGTATGCATGCCAGCACCAACAAAGGAAAGCCTAAAATACCTTAAAAACACCTTACCCAACTATTAGTGTATGTACATGCACGCATTAATGTTCTTCTCTTATGCTTTTTTTGTTGTTGTTACTAGTCATTAATTGCTGTTTGTGAATGTTAAAGGTCTAGGGCACAGGTGTCAAACTGAGTTTCAAAAGGGCCGCAGCTCTGCACAGTTTAGTTCCAACCCTAATTAAACGCACCTGATCAAACTAATTGAGTCCTTCAAACTTGTTTGAAATCTACAGGTAAGTGTGTTGGAGCAGGGTTGGAACTAAACTGTGCAGGGCTTCGGTCCTCCAGGAATTGAGTTTGACACCCCTGGTCTAGGGCATGCGTTCTTTCTTTCTTTCTTTCTTTCTTTCTTTCTTTCTTTCTTTCTTTCTTTCTTTCTGAAAAAAAAGTGAATACGCTTTATTTGCCAAGGATAGCACATTTTAAAAACCAAACTTATTTTCATTGTGATCCTTGATGTTTAATGCTAAAGGATACAATGCTTTTAAACTAGAACCCAAGATGTTCATGACATTTTGCCTATCAATTGCATGATGTGCTAAAGCTGCAATATTTTATGAGTTTGAGATTTTATTTATTTTAAGGTATATCCCAAGTGATGTTTAACAGAAAGATTTATTTTCAACTTATTTTAAACAATACTTTTAATAACTAAATTCTAAAATAATTTATATTATCCTCACCATGATTACGTTTCAATTCAGTTCATGTTCATTTATAAAGCACTTTTTACAATGTAGATTGTGTCAAAGCAGCTTAGCCCAGCTTAGCACAGTAAAGTCCAACCTTAAGAGAAACCAGCCTCAGTTTAGGTACTGGAGAAGCTGGACGTCCATTGTAGAGAAGCTGCAGGTGTGAGTCAGGCACCGGTGGGTGTTTAAGTAAGCCCACAGGATCAATGTGGGGACTTTGTCACTGTGGTGTTTCAGGAATCAGTCTCATGCACTCCATTTCTCCATGGCCACCACAGCATCAACTCGGGATATGGCCTGGTCCAGGATTATAGATACCTTGGGATCATCTCTTCACAGGTCTAGGATCGCATCAATTGCACTGCGTAGTCTTTTGGGACCTCCGATTGAGTATCCCCAGGTGGAAATAGAGAATAAAGAAAATAATAAATAATTAATAAGTTAATAAAATAGTACTTGATACTTTGCAAGATATTAGTATTCAGGGCAATTTAAAGGCTTAACTATGTTAATTTAGGTTAACAGAGTTAGGTTAATTAGCCAATCGGA